GGCAATGTATTCAGATGTTACAAGCCACATATAGACCCAGAGTCAAACAGTATTTAGGACTGTGATCCCTTGAAATCTGTGCTGCTTAGAAATCTGAATACTTTTTGCAGAGCTATCTCTTAATGTCAGAAAACAATGCAAAAATCAGTTCTGGTAGAGAGGAGATTCTAAGTGCTAATTAACTCTTTTCCCACCTGATTGGTGCTATTAATTATGTTATTTTTAAATAAAAATCTCATGTACTGAAATTCCTTCAGTTTTACTTTCTCTCATAGGATATCCATCAGTATAGGAACTAACTAAACATAGGAGCTCCTGAACAATTTCTAATATAGGAGAAATTCTATCTCAAGATGCCCTATCTTTTTTCTTCCTCCAGAGGAAATAAAATAATAATGCAACATACCCTTGCAACACTGTTAAAATTTTCTAAGTAGAACCACTGCTCTGTCTCAGCTGCTGTAGGTATTATTTGGGAAGGCTAATTGCCATGTCTTGCTGAGAATTATGATTACTTAAGAGGCTGACTCCCAAAGACACACATTTTTAGATGTTATTGGTAAGAAAACCAAAAGCAGCTCAGTTTTCTACAGTGTGCAGGTGAGAAACTGAATATTTGAGATAGGTACTGAATTACAGCCTGATGTGACTCTTTGCTATTTCTCTTTTTCCTCTTAGCTCACTTTGTGTCTTACTGCTTTTGTACTTTCAAGAGCAGCATTGTTAGGATTTTAAGTTTGAGAACAAGGGATGTGATATTCCTGTGCTCTGATTCAGCAGAGGGCACTACGTACCTGTAAACCTACATAATTATGCATTAACACGTAGCGTCTTGGTGAAATTAGAATCTGTTACTCAAAGGTTTAGACAATTCAGCTAAGGGAATATCTGTGCTCATTCAATGATGCAGAAAATTCATTACACTGCCCAGTTTCTTAGAATGAAAGCTGATTATATGCATAAGAGGCTTATACTATGCCCTAAAAAATATAGGGATCATTGGCACAGGTGGCTTCAATTCGCATGTTTAGGTGAGTATGAAGCTGTCTTATGCCTTTAAAATCTGATTTTCTTCTGAGGTCCTCATGTGAAGTGAGGTACTAATTACTTTTCCTGAAGGAACCAAACTGTCTTCCCAAGCTCTGGGGCTGGTACTCAGTTGACTGTTGTTGTATTGCCATGCTGTATATTTTTCTCCCCTCTTTCTTATGTCATCAAATGTCATGATCTTGACCTGAGACAGAGCTGATGTATGTATGAGATCTATTTCTATACCGCTTGTTGTACAGGTCTAGTGTAGCTAAACCAAACATAGTTTGGCATGACATCTTCAAAACGTATGAATGATTCAACAAATATTGAGGATTGAAATATTCCTGACATTTTACACTGCATTCCTCTTTTCCCTGTTTGTTTATTTCTCTTTCAGGTTACAGGAATTTGCTTCCTGTAGTTTCAGCTACTTCAGTATGGTTTGTCCCCTACTGCAAGCAGCCAGAGCCTTGTCCAGTAGCAGGTTGAACTCTAGCTGTTGACGCTGGTGTTATGTTTCATGAATCGGTTTCCAAGATCTGCATATGCCCAGTATGAAATACCACTGAGCCTCGAAAAAACCCCAGCAAAGGCAAAAAGTACTTCTAAATGTTCTAGTACTGGTATTAAAAATACTAGGTCAAATGATCAGAGGGGTCATTATTATTGCAGTTTATATAATGCTGATTTAGATGTAAATTTTTGGAAAAGTAAACACTTTGTGTGTCTTGGTGCGTATTTTTTCATCCGCAACTTTTATTTTTCTTTAGAAATTATACAGGGCCAACAAGTATGCAGAATACTATTTCTAGCAGTATGATAGAAAGAGGCAATTTTTATCTAAATATCAAAAAAGTTGTATTTGCAAAAGCATAAATTCTTCAAATGTAGGTAGAGCTGAGATGTTTCAGTGTTTTGGAAGCCACCCGGTGCTATGGGTGGTCTTTCTTTGGTGATGCTGTTTTTGTTTCTGGGTAGATCCTAGTCTTGCAGTCCTTCTTTCAGACAGAATTCTGATGTCGTCTCGTGGACTGTTGTCTGTGTTGGAAATAAGGATCAGGCCTTGGGTAATATCTCAGAAGCTCTTGAATGTAGCTCACACAAGAGACTGTCTCCCACTTTCATGATTGCATTTGTTTATCCAGTTTGGGATTTGTTCTTGTGCTTTATGAGACTTATTGCCCTAGATTTCACCAGAAGAGACATACACAGGTTTCCTATTTCAGCAGTTCAAAAGCAGTGAAACAGAAGAATACTAAAATAAAAATATGGTTTATGTGTCTCTTAGCTGTGCACTCATAAAAAAACACCACAGGGAATTCATAAGACTTGAATTAACTCTGAGGGAATAACTCAGATAGGATTGCCTCTAGCAGAGTAGGACGCTTGAAACAAAATCAATAGTTGAAATAAACCATTTTGATGTTGGCCTGGTTTTCCTGAGCACAGCGGTATATGTGCATCTAAACCTGGAAAGTTAGGTATCTAAAAACAAACTGTTTTGCTTTTTTTTGTCTTGTCTACACAGCTTTTGCACTAGTGAAGGGTAGCTCCAGCATTCAAAACAAGTCTGCCTTGCTGCCATAGAAGTTACTTTTGGAGTGCTAATATGGTCCAGAAGGCTAGGAAGTAGTTTCTGAAGTGGTTAAGATGTTAACTGTTGGGGCAGGGCATTATTCAGTCTGTGAATATTAGGCTCATTTTTCATAGCCCTTTGGCAGTAGAGCATCAAGGACTGTCCCGGTTCAAATGACTTTCATATGAAGGGGTTCCCTAATAATATAAAAATGTCCATCTTAGGATTTTGTGTCTGGTATTGGGTGATAACAAGAAATCCAAAACACTGCGTTCTGTATCTAAAGGGATGTGTTTCTCCCATTTTAACGTCTTTTTAAATAGTCAAGCACAAGGGCATCAAAAATGCATCTTCATGTTGAATGAAAAACAACTTTTTCCTGACATATTCTGAAGTATTTCCTGTTTTCATGTGCTGTAATGTCCAGTTCTTAGATTGGAACTGTAAGCTGTTCAGCTTAGGTGCCTCTGGTTCATGAAGTCACTGGAGACCTACTCTGACTATCATTCACAAAAAAAAAAAAAAAAAATTGAAGACGTTCTAAAATTGACATATTGGCGTGTTACTACTAATAAGCTATCCTCAAAAGCGCTGCAGAGTGAAGCTGTTGTTTTGCAGGTGCTTCACGAGTTCATGTACCAAACAACGAATTCCTTTCCTTCTGCACTTAGTTTTCTTCCTAACTTCAACTACAAATATATTGCTTACAAGAATTTCATTAGGCTCCCATGCCCTTATAGAGATCAGGGAGAACATGTTTCTTCTTCACTTGCCTGTTGTTTTGTTTTGTAAACGTAAAGTGATTTCTGATTTGCTGTTGCTCTTGCTATTAGGCTTGTTTTTTTGCCATTACTGCTTTCTAAGCAACCTTTTCTCTTTGAATTAGATTTCCTCAAATGTTATTAGCTGATATTTTCCAAGGTTGTATCTCATTTTGTTATTTCCGGGCCATGTTTCTAATCTCTGAAGATCCCTTTGTACTGTTTTACTGTCTCTTCTGGTGCTTGCAATGCCTGCAGATTTGAATGATGTGTGCTCTGTCCCTTCTTTCACATTATTAATAAAGAAGCTAAATCAAACTAAGACAGACACTTCTTCATGTAAGTGGTTTTAAGATACTTCTCAACAAGACACAGTGTTGTCTTTTGTTACCCAGTTCTTAATATTTAATCACATTATTGTGCTTCCATTGGAGCCAGTGGGAGTAAATATTTTTTTAGTGACTGGTCTGTGGGGCACTGTATCAAATATCTGTTCAAACTTAGTGCTTCTACCAGCTGACATTGATGCTGATGCAGTGCCCACTTAAATGCATGATTCAATATAAGTTTGAAAACAAATCAACTTTGGCACACAACATGCCTTTATTGTTCTTCTATTTTTTGGAGTCCAGAATGCACTGTGGGGTATATAGTGCTAATGATTGTTTGCTTGTTGTTTTTTAAAGCTCTTAGGCTGACTGACATCCATATATCAGTCAGGGAAGTGCTCTGTATACAAAATACCATTTACACATCACCAGTTGTCTTCCATCCCTAAGCTTGGCTTTCTTGAACTCATAGTAATGACTGTGCCAGTGCATGTGTGTGTATGTATTATTATATTTTATATATGTGTACATATATATATACACACACATATATATAAAATCTATTAAATACATGATTATGTAATTCAGGCATTCATTCTGGCCTTACTATCACTTTCTGTAATACATGACCAAAAGGTATGATTGCTGAATGGGAAGAAAGAGTAATTGTTTGTAAATGCTGCATTTTCTACAGGGCTGTGGGATTTTAGGTTAACTAAAAGCACTCTCTCTGTTTCAGATTTGTGAACTATGATTTTGTGTGTAAGAAGGTCCATCACAGCTGCTTTGCTCTGATTTTGAGAGGAGAAACAGTATCATGGAATGCAGTAACAGTTTAACCTTTTCATGAACATTTAGGGGAAAAAATAAGTAACATGTTAAAGTAACATGTTTCTCTTTTCAGTAACAAATATCCAGTTTTTCATCTCGGTTGAACATACCCTGTTCACTCTTATTTTTTGGTCTGGTGTTAGTGACTCAACTGTTGGATAGTAGTTTTCTTGCCTGAAAGAGTCCAGTCTAAGCTTTTTGGTGTTTTGCTTTAAAAGTACAAATCAATATCACCTTTTTTTTTTTTTTTTCATGCAATTGACGCAATTCAACAGTGTATTACACTTATACGCTTAAATTGTGCACAATGCCACATAGTCTGTTAGAACCCATCAGGTATATTGATAAAATTGTGTATTCTTTCTCTACTGAGTACTTAACCATTTGGTTCAGCTTTATGCATATAGAAGCCATGATTGTGATTGTATTCTAATTTTTATGAGTCTTTTTGTTTGTTTTTCCATCTGGTAGGGTAAATCTTACCCTTTTAAAGGTCCGTTCCCACCTATGTGGAATCCTTTGGCCTATCTGGACTACAACAACCTGTGGAGGACCATGGACGAAATGGGAAAGGAGGTATGGCATGAGGACTTGCAGCTGAGCATCTCTGCTCAGCACTGTCTGCAGGAGGGATTGGTGGATGTGGCAGAGTGCTAAGGAGATGGGAATGCAGGTGGGGAAGCCTGCTCCACCTTGGATGTGGCTGCAGTGGGAGAGAGCAAGGTTGTGGGTAGGTTCTGGTATTCGCTAATGATTAGAGCGAATTCAGAAGAGGTCTCCTCGCCGGCTTGCTCTAGAGGCTGCATCACTGGGTCTGCTGTTGTGCCTTCATTTTTCCAGACAGATGAACTTTAGGATTAACGTGTGTGATTTTAGCACTTTCTTTGGCAAGTGCTAAGTAACAATTCGGGGTTCCTGGGTAGAAGGTCATTTTAGGGGTTTTGTAGATTTGCAGCATATGCCTAGCTCCACTCTCAAATTTAACTCAGTCATTTTAGTTCACGTATTACATTGATTGAGCCACAAGATTTTGAAAAGAGGTCTCTGGTGCTCATGCAGACAAACAGGAGAAGTACGGAATAACTCTTAGCTACTCCACGGCACTGCACAATGCCTTCCTAGGCAAATTTCTTAACTCTAAAAGCGTTCTCCATTAAGTTCACTGTATTTCTTGTCAGGAATGTACAAGCCAAATTACTTCATAAAGATGAAATTGAGTCTCTGATGGAACAACTATTGTGGATAGAACAGAAGATTTTTGGAACAAAAACTTTGGCAATTTTATTGGAAATTGACCAAAAATCAGTTTGCATTTGCATTATTATATTTCTTTTATTCAGCTTCAAATGTTGTCTGTCTCCTTTGTTTGGCTATGCTTTTGCTCCCAACCCAAAGGGATAAGTGTATTTTTTTTAAAAAAAATATATGTATATATGGAAGAATGAATATTGGAAGCCTCCACATGTGTTATTCAGAGAAATAACCAATGTAACAATCCCAGTTTCCTCATTTTAAGCTGAAATCCACCAGTTGACTGTTGTTTGTTTTTATACCGCTCATACATTTCCTGAACGTTATATTATGTCTCCTTAGATTCCCAGTGAAGCTCCATGGAAGGCTCCACATGCAGAAGAATGGGACAAAATGACTATGCAAGATTTCATAGATAAAACTTGCTGGACAAAGTATGAAGTTCTTTGATAAGATATAACAGATTATATTTGTATACCTTGGAGCTCAGCTTCAAGTGCTCGGAAACAGATATAAACTACCACTGGAGTAGAGGGTTTTTTTTTTTTTTTTTAAAGGAAGAGAAAATCATTTAATAGTGAACCACAAGATTTATCAGCATAAATGAGGGTATTGGTGCATAGCAGGTTCCACTCTATTTCTGTTGCTTTTTAGAATAAAGTGAAGATAAAGGAAAGTGTACAGTTAGGATGGGAGAGTGTAGATTCTGAAGTCACAGGTTCCTCCATCTGTTAGGTATCCTTTCCTTTGCTTGTTAACCATTAAAAGAAACGTACTTTGATTGCAGTAGATTTGTGAATCAAACTTCAGGTGAAACAATCTAGAAGTATTTTATGCTGGGCCAGCTGTTTTTGCAAAAGTGCAATGTTGCAAGAGTAACATCCATCTTAGGATGGCACTAAGATCACCATAACACCCACCTTCCTACATTTTAACTGCTGCAATAAATATCGCACAGAAAAACTGAAAATCCTTTCTATATGCATCAAGGTATTTTTTTCTTTTTTTGCCATTCAAGAATAGTTTGATTGGTTTTCTTACACTAAAGAAAAAATAATAATTCTTTTAAGTAGATTGATTTCTATAGCAACACTAGTGGAATGTCTAAAGGCCCAATACTTTGCTGCAGAGAAACAAGCCAGTTCAGTGCACAAGTCTGTTAGCACCTGCTCAAGCTGATGTTGCCATTGCTGGAAATTTCTACAATTTCAACCAGGTGCTAGAGAGCAACGTGATTGCTGTGGCACTTGTCAAAAACTTTTCATCTTCCTATCATTTTGCTTTCATTTGTAACAAAAGCTGAACAGAGGCATGCAGAAAGCCTTTCTTAGTTGTATCACCATCCGTATCGAGTAAAACCAAATAGAAACGAGCTCTTGCCATTCTGCTGTTCACTTTAGTCACTGACTTGGTAAAGAACTGTACGAGGTAGAAAATTGCCACACACTGGTGGTTATTTAATACCTCAGAGCAAACATGAGTACAGTCATATTTTTTTTAAAACTCCGTGATGGAATAAGATTTGACATTTTGCCTGAAAGTTAATGTAACTGTGAGCCTTCCTTAATTCCAAGATTCTTTTCAGATTTTATATGTGCATCTCAACTTGATCTGCCTGGTTTGTTTGAGATTTGGGCAACGTGCTGTAAAGACTTCCCACCCCGTAAAGTAGTGTTCCAGAAGGGTAATCTTCTACCCTTTCCACTCATCAAAATACTAGACGTATTTGCTTTCGGCTAGAGAACAGCCTGTGTGCTCTTGATGGAAATCAACTGCCATTTCTAGATAAAATACCAGGGGAAATTGGGAAACTGAAATGCTGAAAAGCACTGGGGCAAAATGGCAAAAATGATGAGAATTTGACTATTCTTTGATAGCTTATGCCTGAGAAATGTTTGTAAGTACACATACTAATTCTCCCATTAGACAAAAAGTTTTCTGGATCTGATCATATTTTGCAGCATGTGTTCACGCAGACAAAAAATGATAAATGTGTTCTCCATTATTTCTGCCTGACAAGAATGAAGCCGAAGTGCATTCGTATTTCAGAAAACAGGCCAAAAGTCAAGCTTCCTCAGGGGCAGCTTGGATCTTAGCTTTTTATTGCAACTAGAATTCACATTTTCATCAAGAGCAGATGTTATTTTCTCTGTAGAGATTCAGCTCAGAAAGTTGAAAATCACGTAGTCCGGAGATGTAAGAAATGTAGGAAGAAATGATTGAGAGTGATTTCTCTACTGGCTTTAGTGGTTATTGATTGCCTGGTGATTGGTCAAATATCTATAAAGGTTCAGTCACTGTCAATCACAATACAGTTAAGCTGAGCATCTGCTGCTCCTGTTCTCCTTATCGTTAAAGTCCTCCTCATAGTCCTCCTCATCCAGAGGAAGTGCTTACTTTTAATAGGAAGAACGTTTGTTTCAGTCTTTATTAACACCTTTTCAGTGCACCCTGAAAATCTTGGTCAACTGTATACAATATTTTATACAAACTGCCATTTTGCCTGTTCCTAAAATGAAAGCATCAACTGCAGGACACAAAAGGCAAGAATCCTTCCACAGGCCGCTTTTCCATTTCTGTGTTCTTGACCACTGGGTCCGAGACCACCATGTAAAGATTCAGCAACTAAAAGTAGCCTTTTCCTTTTTTGATGGACTTACGTGTGAATTTCTATGCACTGCTTCCTGTCTTAAGGCCTTCCTTCTTTTCTGTTTTCCTCCTTTTCTGCTTCATGATTACATTTCTTTCCTTGGTGTGTTTCTCCTACCTACCAGCCTTGGTGTGTGCCCTCGCTTAATGCAGCAGAAGAGAAGGAAGTGAGAGGGTGCTGATTTTGAATAATTAGTTTAGATTTTAAGCCTATCTTTTAGATGACTGGTGTGGGATAATCTGTATGCTGTGTGCTTGGGTGAGGGAAAGGCATTTGGCAAGCACGGAATGAACAAGGTGAAACCTGGGACCATGTGAGGAGATGGCAGTTCTGGAGTCCAAGGACGATGTGAGAGCCTGTTGCCTTTAATCTTGAGTCTAGCATGACAGAAAACCGTCATTTGCTATCAGTAACAGAAAGTGCAATAAACTTTTGATGGCTCTTATGTCTTCTGCAGTGCTGATTTTTCTGGCTCATTTATATGTCCAGCACTATACAGCACTATTAATATTTCTTTTTGGATGGGATTCCCTAAAAATGTTACATAAAAACAATTGATGTTACTCCCTGTTTCAAATGAAATAAAAAAAAATCTTTGCCTTCAACTTCAATGGAAGAAAAAAATTGTTAAAGATGGTCTTTTCCCTGATAGTGATCAAGATTGATGTCTTCTTTTAGCTTTTATATTAGCTGATTTTCTTGTCTTTGGTGCAGGGCTGCCAAGAATTTTGCAACTCTATTTGTGAATGTAGATGTCACTTCTGAACCCCATGAGGTCTCTGCCCTTTGGTTTTTGTGGTACGTGAAGCAGTGCGGGGGGACAACCAGGATATTCTCCACTACCAACGGAGGGCAGGTACTGTTGACCATCACCTTTTGTGGCTTTTGTGAGGCCATGTTTGCACTTGGTTCTTCTGCTTGCTTGTTTGAATTGAAAGCACAGAGACTTTCATGATTTTGACTCAGTAGCAGCCTGAGAACCATTGACTTGCGCACTAATAAGGATCTTGCAGCATTGACGTAGAAGTCTGTTCCTGTGTTGAAGGCTTTGGCTGAGGGACCAGTAGATTGTTATTAGTTCCTGACTCTGACTTTCTCTTGCACGCAGGTTAGAATAACTACTTTATTTATCCGCTTGAAAAAAAGAAAATATTGGTTATACTGCTTTCTGTCATGAGGCTGATGAAAGGCTTGCTGCTTTAGAAGCAGTTAATGGGGGCGATTATGCTAACTGCAGGAGAGTGCAGAAAGCTCCAAACTAATATTGCAAATACAGCCCAGAGCTGGATTAGGAAAGACACAAGCTTCCAAGGATCAAAGCTGTTAAGATTTTTGAATCAGTCAGAAGAAAATGGCCACCATTATTTATCTCTGATATTGCTATAAAATGTTTGAAGACTGGTAAATTTGTCCTGATTCTGCATTTCAATAAAGTAAAGGATCAGCTGATGAACTTCTACTGTAGAAGTGTAAATTATACATAACTGAGTATATTAGGAATAATTACGTATTTAGAAATGTAAATTATAAATATATAAATGCATAAAAATAAAAACACATAAATATATTAGAATATATTAGAATATATTGAAATAAATTAATATATAACTTACTATGAATAATTTAAATATAAATACAGGGTATAAGAATTTCTTTGAATCCTGCTGTATGTTAGAGGTTATTTGAGTTTAAGTTAGATTAGATGTCACTGGGTAGGTTTTTGCTGTGAACTAATTCACTTCTTAATTCAGTTATTTATCATGAGAGTCAAGGTTCCTATTTCAGATGCACAGGCCTTTACAGGGATAAAGTAACACTCTAAAACATTTAGAATGTTAAGTTCTGCTAACAAGTGTTGCTGATGCACACAAGTCTGTGGAATCCATTTGGAGGTCACATGAGAATGGATCTTCTCATGAGATTACTTAGAGACTTAAATTTTGGCTGGTGGTCGCACAAAGGAAGTGCAGAAGTTCACTGAAGGAAAAGTAGTGCGGATACATTTTCCAAGGGAAACTGCCAAACTTCCCCTGAAAGTTTGATAACAGAAAAATGGGATTGCTTTGAAACCTGAGAAAAATGTTTGTCGTGATGCAGACTTTATATGCAGTGATATGCTGATTCTACTTTGAGTTGTCCTTTTCTGTGTTTCAGGAAAGGAAATTTGTTGGAGGTTCTGGCCAAATTAGTGAGAAAATAATGGAGCGACTGGGAGACCGAGTAAAGCTAAGAAGACCAGTGATTCGTATTGACCAGTCAGGAGAAAATGTCATCGTGGAAACCTTAGATCATGACTTATATGAGGTAATGAAACCCTTTACATAAAAGCAAATGCTTGTGCTGAGATGCTTGGAAAACTTTAATTTTTCCCTTTTGATTTCTCCGAAATCTTGTAACAAAATGTAAAGGAGATTAAGGCAGCTATGATAAAATGAATATCACATTGTTGTAACTAACACTAAGGGCAGAGCTTTAAAATAGTGTCTGAAAAGCATGGGATAATAAAGTACATGTTCAAAAATTTTCTTCAATAGCATCTCTCCTTTGTGTTCAGTTAGCTTTATAAAGGAAGAACAGTTGTAAGATAAAAATAAAAATGTATCTTACTGGTGATTTTTCTATGAAAAGCATTTCAGGCACTTGCTTTCCAAGTTGTAACAGAGGAGTCCAGACAGAAAGGAGACTAATGGATTCTTGTAACCCAGAAAATCTTCCCACTGGACATTTTTCAAGTGCTGGGTAAATAACAGTTGCCTGTCATCGGAACAGATGATTGTTTATATAATGCCTGTTTGTTGTGTGAGCAGTCTGGATTTTATGAAGGGCCAAAATTGCTTCAGAAGATACACCCCTTCACAGATGTCTGCCAAGATCCTTAAGAGTAATACACTCACCACTTCTTCGTCGTATCTGTATTTGGCTTACTGTGATTTCTTTTCCAGAGCAAATATGTGATCAGTGCCATTCCCCCAGCTCTTGGTTTGAAGATCCATTTCAACCCATCTTTGCCTCCGATGAGAAATCAGTTGATCAACCGAATCCCCATGGGCTCAGTCATCAAGTGCATTGTGTACTACAAGGAAACTTTCTGGAGGAAAAAAGGTATTGAGTTTTAACAGAAACTCAATAACAGGAGTCTCAGAGTCTCTCTACCCCTACTATCCTTTAACAGGATAGAGAGAGGGGAAGAGTACATAGTAACAGAGCACACTCTATTTTTAAGGGATGCCAGACCTTAAAATGAGATTTCATTCATTTATATGCCATTCTTGCCTTTCCTTGATCAGGAAACTTGAGAGTCTGTGTGGAAAAAGCGGGTGTGTGGAGAGAAAAAAAAACAGGCATAATGGGAGAGGACAAGACGGGCTTATATCTGGTCCCTGTTATTTTGGTTGTTTTTTGTTGTCCTCTCCTGTTCTTTCAGTGTCAGCTGGGTATGAGGTGAGGCTCTCCCACTTATACAGGGAGTAAGGTAAAGGTACAAATGAGGTGTGATGGACAGAAGTTTTGTTCTGTCAGTTAGCAGTCTGCAACAAGTCTGCCTTCTGGATGCCTTGGGCAGGATTCATTTAGGGTGTTTTCGTATAGATATTTCCATCTGGATGTGCAGTCCTGGGTTCCGTTTATATGCTGAATGCTTTCACCTTCCTCTAATCTTGTTTGGAACTTACCTGAATCCAGGAAGACATTAACCATATCTCTTCGCTGGTTAAAGTAAAAGTTCAAGGCCCTGTTATTGACATCTGCATTTGTCTACAAACATCGTTTGCACTTTGTCTGTATGATATTATAGCATCCTCTTTAGTGAGTAAATGATTCTAAGATTTCTGTATCTTGGCATGTTTTGGCCTTTAAGTTTTGAGATGGATTGGAGAAAAGGTAACTCCCACTCCCTGATAAAATTCATAGTTTGCACATTGTGCTTTCAAGAACAATTGTTCTTCTTTGAAGAACATATATTTAGAGCAATGTATAAATATTTTTCCGGGAACACTGCACTTGTAAATCAGTGGACCTGTACAGTCGTCTTTCTTTGTCACTTGGTGGAGATGGCTTTGATTCTTTTTTCTTTCTCTTTTTCTGCCTTTTCGTACATCGCCATGTTATAATGACAAAATCAGAGAATCATATAGCTTGGGAGGGGCCCCCTAGGTGTCTGGACCAACCTACTGCTCAATGTAGGTCCATTTAGATCAAGTTGTTTATGGCTTTTTCCAAATGAGTTCTGAATATTTCAGACTCTCCAGAGTCTGTTCCTGTGTTTGAATACCTGGTTCCTAACTTCTTTCTTCCACACAATCACCAGATTATTGTGGTACCATGATCATCGAAGATGAGGATGCTGCAATTGGCCTGACACTTGATGATACTAAGCCTGATGGCAGCTTTCCTGCTATAATAGGGTAAGAGACAAAGAAAGTGTCTGAGTAAGATCTCTTTATAGATTTAACAATTTAAATGAAAGACCTGCTCCTTTGAAAGGAAAAACTTTTGCAAAATACACAGTTAAAAGGTTGATATGCTATATGTATGGCGAATATGTTTGTCTTTTTTGCTTCAAAAAAGTTCTCCTTACAATTTATTTTATAAATTTCAAAGTATTTCTCTTCCCTCAAACTTCTGGTTCCTTAAATTAAAATGTGTCTACTAGAATTATTTATTTCTTATTTTATTTTATTTCCAAACAGCCAGGGAATAAGTTCTATCTTCAAAAACTGTTTCATTCCAAGCTTCTCTTCTCAGTGTTATATGTCCGCATGTACTTAATTTAGAGCATCAGAAAACAGCCCATAAAAATCTGCTAAACCAGACTGCAGACTTGTTTCCTATGTGGTGAGTTCTGCAAGCAAGGACCAATGTGAGAGCATAGCACATACACACAGTGGCAAAATGAGTGTTTTGGATAGTGACTCAAAAGCTAGTAACAGTGCTAGGTAATTGGAATTATAAGACATGGAATCATAAGACATTTTAAATAATATAGGTAATAACATAATAAAAGTTAATTGTTTGTTTGTGGTCTTCCTTTCTTGTAGCTTTATTCTGGCTCGAAAGTGTAGAAGATTGACGTACCTCACAAAAGAAGAAAGGTAAAGGTGATTAGGCGAACACTGAAGGCTTGCATAGAGTCTAAGCTTCTGTTTTAAATGATTTGAGCAGGAAAACAAAAATCCCTGTGTCCAAGGAAGTTGTTGCAGCTTTAAGAAAGCAGCTCCCTTGTTTGTTCTAGTAAGAATTACATGGAGTTGTCTTCTACACTGGCAGCAATCATTGCATCTAGTCCCTGCACTTTGGAACTTCCCTGGACCAGGTTCTCAATTTCCAACAGGGTTGCTGACTGCTAAGGTCACTTTTTATAGAAAGGGTCTGGTGTCAGCCTCATTACCCCACTGCTGCCCCTCTGGTCGGTCTCCTGCAGGTGCACTGAGCACTTTGAAAGCCTGCCAGGGGGGACAAGCTTGCACACTGCCTTGATTTTGCTAATCATCCTAAGTCAGGCCCCTAGAGGTCTTTTCTGACTTTGCAGCCTTGATTGTAGGTGCACGAAAGAGATCATAACATCCTGGAGGGGTCAAAAAGCTGTCACCACCTCAGTTGCAGAAAAAAACAGTCTTCAACCACAGATGAAGTTTTATTCTACTGACTTGTTAAAACACATTCATGCAGACACTACTGCTCTTTCCTTTATTATTAACATAAGATTGGGAGTAATGAGTTTTGGCCTCTCGTAGATCAGATTCACATCATCTGATCAAATTAAAAGCTGTAAGTGGAGAGTGAAAATATGATATCCATATTTTAACATGGAGTAAATACATTTTTATTTAAAACATGTCACAAGGAATTCTGAGTGTCCAACTAAACATTTTTATAGTGATAGCTAGCCTAGGTGGAAAAGTTTTTTGTCATCTCAGAATTAGCTTTGCAGGTAGCCCTGCAGTCTGTGGATAATGGGCCTAAATGGGTCTGTTAATATCCCAGTATCTTGAAATGGCAGAGATTCCAGAGAAAACCAGAGCACTCTGATCCACAGAGTTCCTTCAGTGTTGGCAGAAATGGATAAAGCAGCCTCTCTTTCAGCATTTAGACTTTGTCAGTCGCTTCCTGGGAGGGTCTCCAAAAAACACAGAAGGTATCCTGAAATCTAGTGCATCCAACATCTCAAGCCAGCATAAAGACCAAATGGCATCTCTGTGCCAACATACAAAATGTATCTGGGCATCAGCGGGATTTAAGAACAACTTCTGTTTCTGTGAAATGAAGGGATGCCATACCTATTTTAAAGGCACCGTGGAAGACAAGCTGCTTTTATGTGGGTGTTGAAAACATCAGCATGATTATCTGACTCTGCTGTTGCTTATAGTTAGTTTTAAAGTGAAGGATTTTGAACGCTCATTTTTTTGAGGCATAAACCTTAGACTGTGAAAATCTTTTTTGGTAAGGAATGTTATAAATTATACTTGGGTTGATGCCTGATAGATGTACCCCAGTCTAGGGGCTGGAGGTGCTGCTCTGAATCCTGTGTTCCTTGTCCCAGCCTGCTAAGCTAGGAGTGTGCTGGATTAAACTACAGTTCCTTCCCTGTACACAAGTATGAGTGTCCTTCCAGGGGAAACTGGAGTCCAGGAAAAGGAGGAGTGTGAACCTGAATGTTATCCCTGTGTACACGCAGGATGCATCCAGTTTATGTGGCTTAGATAAGGGCGATGATGTTTGCAGGGCAGAATCTCTTCTGACTGCAACCAATGGGATCCTGGGGTGGATTAAGAAGAGCGCCTCCAGCAGGTCGAGGGAGGTGATCCTGCCCCTCTACTCAGCCCTGGTGAGGCCACATCTGGAGTATTGTGTCCAGTTCTGGGCTCCACAGTACAAGAGGGATGCGGAGCTGCTGGAGAGAGTCCAGCGCAGGGCTACAAGGATGATCAGGGGCCTGGAACATCTGCCCTATGAGGAGAGGCTGAGGGAGCTGGGCCTGTTCAGCCTGGGGAAGAGAAGGCTGAGAGGGGATCTAATCAGTGTCTATAAGTACCTCAAGGGAGGCAGTGAGGAGGATGGTGCTGGTCTCTTTTCAGTGGTGGCCACTGATAGGACTAGAGGAAATGGCCACAAACTGAAGCATCAAAAGTTCCACAGGAACTTAAGGAAAAATTTCTTAACAGTGAGGGTGACAGAGCCCTGGAACAGGCTGCCCAGAGAGGTTGTGGAGTCTCCTTCTCTGGAGATCTTCAAAACCCGCTTGGACGCAGTCCTGTGCCACGTGCTCTAGGTGACCCTGCGTGTGCAGGGGGGTTGGACTAGATGATCTCTAGAGGTCCCTTCCAACCCTAAGCATTCTATGATTCAATGATTCTAGTGTCAGCCTGTAGAGGAGCAGGGTGGAACAACTCTCTGGCGAAATGTTGGGCTCTCCCTTTATCACGTTATCAACAAAGGGTGCAATCTTCAACAGTTCTTGTGTATGAGGAGTGAGATCTAGAGTTTGTGGCAGCTATTACAAATCATTGTCCAGAACAACAGCTACAAGAGGAGATGGAAACTATTTTGCAACCTGACTCAGACTTAAGGGAGTGAAACCCACCTCTGCCTTCTGTCTGGTATTCCCAGGCCAGAAACCAATGAGTAATTGGAGTGCTTAGATAAGGCACAGTTGTGCAATGGAGGTGGCAGCTGCATGCACTCTTGTGCCATTCCTGAGGCTCTTTAGAGGTCATGTGCAACTCACACCTGCAGAAAGGGCAGGGCACAGGCAGATGTCAAGGGGTGCTCCCGCCCTCCTCATGGGGCTAAGAGGAGCAGAAGTATTGCAAGGTGATGCTCATCTTCCCATGAGCTCCATGGTGTGACCATCCTGCCAGAAAGCCCAAGGCGGTGCCGTTTGTGAGGGGCAGCAGGGCATTTTGCTGGAAAGCGCTGTTGAAATTGCTCCATTTGGTTCAGACACCATGGGAGTGCTGGCAATCTGCAGGGCACAGAGGCCACTGCTTAGAGGGAGGACCTTTGGGTATGGCTGAGCTCCTGCAGAGGTGTGCTGCCTCATACTAGAGCATATGGTTCCCTGGTATATTTATATAGCTCTAAGTGTAGCCTATACAACTGCAAAGTTGTGACTGATGTATTTCTGCTGTGCCTTGTGCTCTGCATAACCACCTGTGCAGCACAGGATGTCCTTCCAAAAATAAATCAAATTAAAGTCTTTCTGGGGTAAATCAAATTAAAGTCTTTCTGGGGTTGTGTTTGCATGTTTGCTTTTCATAATTGCCAACTGTTGTTTCGTCTTCATCTTGGTCTGTTTGAGAAGTAGTGCAGTGCAGCTAACAGTAAACAGAAAGACCCAACAGCCTGGAGGAACAAACTTAATTGCATTCAGAGTTCGAAACACAGTAAAGTATGTTCTTGGATCTGTAGTCTCATACACTAAAGCAGGATGAGATTTTATAGATATATACAGTAGCGATTCCCTGTGAGCCTCAGGCTGTCAATACCTGTGTCTTTGTAGGAACAAATCGTAATTTAGGCTATCTTTCAAGAGAAAAAGTACAAAGCTTCACTTCTTTTTTGTTTCCTAACAGCCTAGAAGACCTTTGGGTAAGAGTGTAGGCAGCTAAAGGTGTGTTGAGGGGATGGCTTGCATAACTAGCACTTCTACAACACAAGATTTTATTGTATAATAGAGTTGTTTCTAAAGTGATCTGTTCCAGAGCAATTAGGACAGATACTGAAGGACTTGGAACCTCAAGCTTAAGCAGATATTAATACTTGTTCTCTCAAAATGAGAGCATATTAGCAACATTTTGTTTCCTCTTTCCTTCCAGTGAAATCTTTGTTGCTTCTCTTCTTTCAGGAAGAAGCAGCTGTGTGAGCTCTATGCAAGGGTTCTGGGATCAGAGGACGCTTTACATGTAAGAACAAAATGTTAACCACAGTGTCTCTTGCCAGGCTTGTTGAAATGGGGAATGGCAGAGTGGAAGACACCTGTGTTGTGGCACAGGGCTCCCTAGCATTTTGGAAAGGTACCTGCTGCTGGGATGCTTGTGGTTTTCTGTAGAGGAGCACAGAGGATGTTGTGGCAAATCTCATGTTATATTTGACAGTGAGAACCATCTTATGAAGCAATTAAAAACACAGACTTGGTATTCCAGCTTCAGTGCTGAGGGTGACATTCGCAGTGGTTACTACTACGCCGTAAAATCTCAGTTGTCTTCAGATGCAACAGGCTTGTCGTTCCCTACCAGTCTGTGTGCAGCAAGAGAAGTTTCTTCTCTTGCTAATTGCTGAGATCCATTGCTGCACGTTTTTCTTTTTGTCTTCACTTGTCTTCCCTGTAGTGGTAAATAATTGACAGGATTTGTGGGTTGTCACACTTGATTTATGTCATCAATGTCCATTATCCTTTAAGGGCAATTTAAAGTGAGTTAAATGTTGTAGGTGTGAGTTTTACTGCTATATTTAAAATGACCTATGTAAGTGCCATACTTTGCATTTTTAAACAATATGTGTTTATATCCAGTGTGTATATTATGAGTATTACAACTGTTTACACGAGAGGTTAACTTCATTTTACATGGTTGAAAGCATAAACTTATGTGACAGATTGAGGATTTTTTTCCTACAGTCTTCATATTAACTTGTTTACAAAAAAGTAGCTAGCTGTGTCTAAAATTAAGATTTATTATGTCTGATCCGTGCTGCATTAAGAAACTTGTTAAGTGTTGATCTTGTCAGGCATAGTCACACAACAAATCGTAAGTTATTCTTCACTACTGTCTACTCAGTTCTTTTGTTAGTTTCCTTAGGATTTTGTTCTGTGTTTGAGTGAATTAATCTCTTTTGACAGCCAGTGCATTATGAAGAGAAGAACTGGTGTGAAGAGCAGTATTCTGGAGGGTGCTACACAGCATACTTCCCACCAGGCGTAATGACTCAATATGGAAGGTACAATGTCTAATAATGGTGGACTTCAGCGTAGTAAGATAAGACCAAGTTAATAAACAACCTCACAAAGAGTCATAAATCTTATGTCGTTCTACTGGCATTATGCTTTTAGAATCACCGGGTTTTTTTTTTTAAAATAGATATAATAACTTATCAATTGTCTCCACTGCACTTTATGATGGATGAGAGCAGTAACATTGGGGTTATTTTTCCACTTCTGTTATTCTGTGAATGCAACCAACTGGATTTTTGAAAGGGAGTTTGTGTAACCTATTTGCAAAACAGGCTTTTGGTATTTGAGATCAGCGTTACCATTTCCAGCACATCTTTAATTGGTCTTTAGTAAATCCTGATAGGGAGCTAAGTCCTGACAGTTATGAATTAGTCCTGAACTAAGTCCATTGACAGTTAACTGAACTCTCTGGACTGTTCCTTCTAGCAGATAAAGTTTACTTCGTTAGTCGGTGTGCCATTGTCTAAAGGACCTCTCGGGCATATGTTTTTCATGAAAATTGGATTTACCAAGAAGAAAAAAGCTTTACTGATCAGGTTGTCTTAATACTTTTTAATGTAGTGCTACAGACCTCCTTGGAGTTTAAGTCCACAATTAGTCCACAATTTAGAAAGAACTGAGAGCAGTAAAGCAGCTGTAATAAAGAACATACAGATGCCTTACTTCTTAAGGTAATTCTTATGATACTAGTTGTTGCAACTTGTGTCAAAAATACACCACGGTACAAGACAATGAAGAGTAAAAGAGAAAACAACCCCATTTTTTTTTCTCTTTACTTAGATATCATGGGACTGTACTTTAGGATGCTGTACTGTGACGCCTAGGATGCCCGTGACGATTGGCATTGATCTTTGGGATGCTTGCTAAAATAAGTTACTATCTTTAAGTGCTCATTATTATTTGAAACACTCTTATTCTGGGGATTTTAGTCATCCTTCTTGACGTGGATTGTGTGACTTCTTGCTTGTCTCTCTCCAGGATTCTTCGGCAGCCCTTTGACAGGGTCTATTTTGCTGGCACGGAGACAGCTACTGAATGGAGCGGATACATGGAGGGGGCTGTACAAGCTGGAGAGAGAGCAGCCAGAGAGGTACCGGCCAAAACAAAAGGCACTGTCAAGTATCCTGTGTAAACTGGCTAGAGGCCAAGTGGGGACTGAGTGTTTCCAGCTTTTGGCGTTCTAAAATCTTGATGCAAATACCTGAAAAGGCAATAGGCGTCTAAAAGGATTAAGGTTTCGCATTTAGGTTTGGAATATTTAGGCTGTGCTCTGGCTTTTTTGTCAAAGTCTTCTCCGTTTCCTGGAATTATGTCCTTTTTTGTTCTTTAATGGGAAGATTCTCACCTAGCCATTTTTTTGCCCCAGAAATGAGTATATTTTATTAGTCATACGGAGAGGTCATGGCAGTTAGCTTTATTCGTAACAGTTCCGTTCTGCTGATATGGAGACCAAGCAAGTTCCTTCCTTAAATGTTTCTGAGCATTACCATTGGGTTATTGTCTTTGTATATATAGTTCTTACACAAAAACTTAAATATCTTGCTTGATAGGGCTAGAAAGGCTAGTTCCTCAAATACATTTTGTAAATGTTTCTGGAGCAGCAAGAGAAATCTCTTAGGTCTGCTGTGCAAGCCTAAGCAGAGCATTTGGCAAATGAGCTTGACTGGTAGAAAAAAAGTGTTGTTTTCCTTTTTGCTCATTTATTTCTGAGAGTTAATAGTCTAATGTAGGGATGCTTCTCACTGTTTTTAGATAGAAGACTTAACAACATTTCTGAATCTTGTCTAAAATAAAAGCTCATCTTAAAAGAATGAAAACCTACTTAAATCTACAAGGAACTGAAATATGAAAGAAAAAAAATCCCAACAGTGTCATATTCATTTTATTTCACCTAAAAATCGTCTTTAAAAATTAACTTCATTAAAATACATCATTTAAAAGAATTCATCATTATTATCGTTTCAGATAATATTTATTTTCCTCTTCATCTCTGAGATCTTTAATGCTAAAGTAGTTACTTTCACATTGTGAAGGTTTTATTTTTAATATTACTTTTTATCTGGCTGAAAATGAGGTTCTGTCATCCCTCACAGGCTCCTGTTCCTCTTCCTACACCACGGTAAAATTTGCAAAACGAATGACTCCTGGCTTCACATATACGCTGCCCATTCAATAGCTATGTGATACACACCTCTCTCTTCTAGTTTTACACTTTCGTTTAAGTGTACTTTTAGGCATTCTCATATTACTTCTTTATCCCATTTCTGACATCTAATATTCACTGAATAATTTATCATGGAGAGGGTTTTCTTTTTTATTTCTTTCTTTTTTTTGGCACTTTCCTCTAAGAGGGGAATTTTTGCTTTCCTTGAGAAGTAACTTACTAAGTATCAGGTCTCCCCAGAAATGACTTGTGCAAAGATCAAGTTTTCTTTAAAATTCAAACACAGATTTATTTGTCTAGTTGTCTTAATGAAGACAGTAACATTGTAAACAAAAATCGGAACCCAAACCTTTTCTGCTTTACGGGAATGAATGAAGTGTTATTTATTTCAGATACTGTTTGCTATGGGGAAAATCCCAGACAGTGAAATTTGGAAGCCAGAGCCTGAATCAACGGTAAGTCTTTCTGTAGTTTAAATGGATTATTTTTTCTTTAATGCTGCTGGTGGGATAAAATTCCGTTGGCTTGTTTTCAGTTAGGTTCTCTAAACCAAAACCACCATAATCTTTCCCTTCCCACCAAAACTACCCCTTCTCAAACAGAAGCATGAAGGAAGCCCAGAGAGGGCACACATCTACTGAATCACTAACAGGGAATCAAAAAGAATTGTACTTTTTAACCAGTCTATGAATCTTATTCATATGCCTCTTCCTCATCCTTCTAAATGAGAAGAAAATTTTGAGGCCTTGTACTTTTTGATAAAAATGAACTGTTTCGACCCTTTTATTCTTTTTTTTCTTTTTTTTTTTTTTTCTGCTGCACGATATTTACATTTATGTTACCTTAGTAATGGATTCCCTCCCTCCAGGATGTGCCAGCTCTGCCCATCACTACAACCTTTTGGGAGAGGAACTTGCCATCTATACCGGGACTGATAAAGCTGATTGGATTTTCCACTTTCTTCACCTCTTTGGCAGCCGCGGGGCTATTTGCCTACAAAAAAGGACTTCTGGTTCGAAACTGAAAAAAAGGTGCCAAACAAAGCCTCACACTTTGTGTTTTCTTTTTTTAGAGAGTTTTTTTTTTTTTTTCTGGCGTGTACTTCTGTATCTCCAGAATGAGTTCGTGGCTGGAGAAGAGGAGAAAATAGTAGAGAGAAGATGCTAGAAGGGCGGTATAAGTAAAGGGGATCTAGACTGAAAAAGAACCCCTTGAACCCAGGTGTACTTCTAACTTCTTTTGGTTGTTGGATTTCTAGGAAACCCTGTCAAGCATTATCATCTTGCGGTTTTTAATCCATATCTCAGAACAGAAGTGACAAAATACCTCAATAAAGCCTGTTCTGTTGTGATTTCCAGCCGTTTTTACACTTGCATCAGAAAAGACCCTGGTATTAATAGTCTTCATAGCCATGTCCATATCTAGCTATAAACAAAGCATTTCTGCCCATTGTCTCTGTTTGAGAAAAGGAGTGATGGATTAGTTCATGCAAGTTACTGGTGGAGATATTTCATTTTTTTTTTTACCCAAAATATCTGAAACCCAGGCAACACTTAAAGAACAGGTGAAGATACCTTTTGAAATGTCGGTCTAAATTTATCCATCTGAAGCCTGCAAGTATGCCCATAGTTTATTAGCATCTCCAGTGGCATAGTTGTCCCACAATGAGTTAAAGAAAATGTCTTTACTGTCTTTGACAACGGGGTTGAATTTCAGGCTCCCCAGCTGCGCTCATGCTGCCTGCAAGGGCAGAGCTCAGGTGTCCCTGTGTCGGATCTGATCTTCCCTGCCTAGGGAACTGACAGGCTCCAGGCTGCAGCCAGTGGGTAAAGCAATAGGGCTGGTCAGGGTGACAGGCTCACGTGTGAACTGGGAGCCTTGTGCTAATATGAGGCTGCACACGCAGCTTTTGGAACATTTTTTACCATGTCCAGTGCCTCTATGGCTCTACAGTTTTACCTCCTTAAGTTGCTGAAAGATATCAGGAAAATAAATTAACCTCTGCTTACCCCAGGAAGCTGTAACGTAGGCCATAAAATCTCCTTTGCATCATTTTCTTATCTCTTTCCTTTCTTTCATTTACTTAGCTTTAGACTTTGAACACCTTGAGGCAGGTACCCTTGCCTGACAGGGCACAATGGGCTTGAAAATGTATCTTTAGCGTGATAAGTAGTAACTTTATCTATGTCTCAACACTTGTTTAGTGCTGAACACAGCTTAATTCAGCACCTTGATTCAGAACTTCCATCTTTCCTACCAACAAGATCGATGTGATTAGTACTTCCAGCTCAGCCTACTGGGCAGTGTTGTGCTGACTGTGCACCTTTGGTAGCCTGTCAAGGGTATAAATGACTGGGAGTCAAACAGAACCATGGGTAGGATAGTCATCTACAGCTGCTTTTGCCCTTCTGGGTTTGGTGTCTTTCAAACAGCATAAAACAAACAAAAAATCTCCCCCAAACTTAGGTGCCTGGCTGCAAGCATCACTGAAACGTTTTTCTAGATCATTCTGCTGTTTTATACCTGCAAGGCATGACAGGAAGTCACAGGTATAACCGAGGGCAGAGTTGGTCGAGTGCACGTAGAGTTTGAGAAGATTTGCAAAGCTGGAATTTTCCTGAGCCTGTCTGCTGCACTTTTTGTCTTCAGCCGGTCATGATTTATATATAAAGAAATTACACTGAGCGGTTATAACAAACAAACAAAAATATTAATATAACAATATATTCAGTGGCTGGGATGAACAGATGGTAGAGGAATTGTATCATCACTCTCATGCAGACTTTTGGGGCTAGTGTCTGATCTCCTTGTTCAGGCTGAGTAGCACTTTACTCTCCAAATGGTCCCATGGAAATCTGCTAAAGTACTTATAAAACTGTAATATTTGTGGACAGTGCATCAGGTTGTAGCCCTTAGATTTCATTATTTTAAACTTGATGTGCCAGTTAAAAATCTTTCCGTAGCAGCAGTTTGGGTTTTATCACAACAGAGTATCCTCATAACAGCCTTTTAAAATGCATCAGGGAACTTTTCAGACATAAAGATCCTTAAGTGAGAAGAAGGGTGCATATAGCCTTTTTCATTATATCACACAGAGCAGTAATTCGACTACCCTAAGATACATCTGAAGTGCTTGTGCGTGATCTTTCTCTGTGATTTATGTCTCGAAAGAACTGAGAACACAAAGCTGAATGGGAACTGTACAAGCTCAGAGCTATTGCATTTTAGGTAATTCTCAGGACAAAAATAGACATAAGAACCTAAATCTGGGAAGAGTTTAGACTTTTAGTCTAATATTTGTAGGTTTTGGGCAGTGAATACATACTTATGTAGTACATATGCACGTATAAAGACCTGCAGCATTTGCAGAATGACTTCCCTTCTGAAACTACTTGAATTTCAACTCCCACTTCTACCGCAGAAATACTCTGCAGGTTTGGAAAGGGGAGCAAACCCTTGAGACTGATAAAGACATGTTGGTTTTATTCATGTCTGAAATGTATCTGGCTTTGTATCTTTTGCTCCTGAATTTGGAAGAGGTTTTTTTTTTTTTTTTTTTTCTCGAGTTCAACAAGAAAATGCTCTGTGCCAAAGGAGAAAACTAAGGAAAAAACAAATTTAACACAAATAGCTGACTCATAAGCAGAGCTTTTCATTATTTTTTTCAAAGATTTTAGCTTTTTTTGCAGACTCCCTAAGCATTAGGAATTCTCTACGGCAGTGTCTCATTAGGATTATGCTGTGGAGTCTATGACCACTGTGATTAAAAGCAAGTGTTTGTTCTTGTTTTCTCGATGTCTTTCAAATAAAAGGAAAATAAGACACTTTTTGTATGTGTATGCCAGTGTTCTGAGAGAACTGATGAATGTAGGTGGATAATTCAAAATACTCTCCTGTGGGTAAAGGAAATTGTTAGCACTGATTTACTTTTAAAAATAATTTAATAGTGAACCTTCAAAGAGCTAAATTTGATCAGATTTAACAGGTATTCAGCAGTGCCCTATTCATAAATGACTAACATGTTTGATGAGAAATCGACTGTCATGAAAAAATCCATCTGTTTTCCAACTTCAAAAAATGCATTATAGAAACAACCATGGAAATAATCTTATTTTTCTGTTATTAATTGATTGCGTAATCATGTATATTTCTAAAGATCTTAGTTTGCTATAAAAAGTGTTTCACTTGCTTGTACACTGTTCCAATAGCAATTATATATTGCAGAAAATGTCAGGTCTTATTGTGAAAATCTGTGTTAACCAAAGTACTTGAGAGCTACTTGTGCAAACTACTCAAAAATAACAAGGGAGGAAGCATTGGGTAGGTCAGCCCAACGTACTCATGTTGTTCCTTAAATCGCACTTTTTTTCTCAATGCAGATATTGATTCCAAATAGCACATTCACTGTCAGTAAGACACATGAATTACACTTAAATTTACATGCAAGTGTTGTCCATAATCGGATCAGAAGGCAAGAGGCTTTTATTGAATAATCTTGCTGCTTCTTCAGTGAGACTATGATGTTACTTAGGTAAGCTTTACCTAAGTACAAAAATTCTTAATATCTGGAAGTTTTTTTGTTTGTTTGAGATACGAAAGAAAGTTATATTTGAGGAGGAAGGAATTTAATGTCCTACCAGGCTGCTTTGGTACAAAAGGGAGTCGGAATTAAATGACAACACAACTACCAGGATTTTCAGTCAAGAACCAAACGCACTTAAAATGCAGATTGCAAGTGCCCACAAATACACTTTCGAACAGACTAACATTCCATTTTGTATCTCTGCTTTAAGACCACCTTGGTCTCACAGTCTGTAGTCTGTTCTTCAATAGAGATAAAAACAAGATGGCCCAAGTGGTCTTGCTTTCAGAGGATCTCTACAATTGAATCATTTATGTGCTGTCATAGATTGCAGCTTCTAGTGTGTGTCCCGTGTACAAGTACCGGTCCGTGTAAAGTGGTGCCTGCCTCTGTGCTTTGGAAAAAGAAATGTGACTTCACTTGGCAAGAATATATATGCTGTGTGCGTGATTAATTTGTGCCTTTTATAACTGTAGCTTTTTCTCAAGTGCCTCTGTGGTGACTGTCTCCCTTGTTTTTCTTCATAAGTTCCCTTTTCAAGGCTCTGCAGATATTTTTATCTGACAGCTGTGAACCTTTTTTTAACCTTAATTAGAATCAATAAATATTGTCATGTCATAATATTGTTTGAGACTTTTCTTCTGTGAATGTAAAACCTCCTTTTTGATTTGGTTGTGATAGTGAGTATTATTTAGTAACACAACATCTCACATTTCTTACTGACACCTGGTGAAAATGTTGAGCTTTTCTCCCTAAACAAACACAGCTCTGTAAAGAAAAAAAAAGTATACTCAGCAATAATTCTTTGTAACATATAGATGACCAATTGTCTTAACTGTAGGAAATTATTATTATTAACAGTAGTAGTAGTAGGCTTAGAGTATGTGAACATGTGGAAGAAACATTCCTTGTACAGTGTAAACATATGACACCCGAAAGGAAAGAGACAGTATCATCGACCCATTTTCATCCAGCAGCTCTGTGTCAGTGCTAGAAATATAATCCACCCCTTTCTAGTCCCAGTGCAGCGTCTCATTTCACAGAACATGCATGGAGGAGGACAGCTGGGTTTTTTTTGTCTAGTTGCTGGAATCAAGGGTGCTACATGGCAATAATTGAAAAACATATGTGACCTTGGGAAGGGATGTGTTTCGCACAAGCACAGGTTCTGAATACCAGAAACACCCTAACCATCCATATAAAAAAATGGATCAAAAGCATACAGTACACTTTCTATAAACTCAACTTGCACTATTATTTACAAGCTATAAAGGAATATAAATACTATGAAGTGAATATCCTCAGCTAATCCTTTTAGGCTCTGTATGTCCTCTAGGAAACGTGTCCTAGGCAGCAATGCATTTTGAAGGCCTTCAGAACAGCTAACAACAGGTAATACCTCTTAAATGTTACTGTGCTGTGTCAAATTTAAACTAGTTTTTAACCTTTTGCTCAGATATACTCTGTTTCATCCCAGAGGAGATGATTCTCTTTTTAC